TCCTCTCACTGGGAAGAACTAGCCAGGGAAACTTACGTCCAATGGACCGTCACATATCCCCGCACCAGCGGGACAAGCTTGAGAAAGAGCTATCAAAAGAAGAAGTATGGTCAACACTTCTCCAAATGAGGGAAGAAAAAACTCCCGGCATAGACGGTTTTCCCAAAGAATTCTGGGAAGCTACCTCGACAGACCTGAGCACGAACTTGTGGGAGTATTATCAGGACGTGTGGGAAGTTGGCGGAATGGGGGAAACTGTTGGTACAGGCGTATTATCCCTTCTATATAAGAAAGGTGACAAGATGAACATCAGGAATTATAGACCTATTACACTGCTCACTGTAGTATATAAAATGCTTGCCAAAGCACTCACCAATCGTATGGCAGCGGTTTTGGAAGATGTCATTCACCCGACACAAACTGGATTAATGTCTGATAGGAACATACAAGAGAACATCTTGCTAGTCAACGACGTGGTGCAGCTAGGGCGACGATATCGGGCCAATGCGGCCATCATCTTCATAAACTTCGAGAAAGCCTACGACCACGTAGACTGGGATTTCTTAGACAGATGTCTGGAAAGAATGAACTTCGGTCCCGTCTTCCGACGCTGGATTAGGATCCTCCACACTCATGCTACCACCTGTGTTCAAGTCAATGGATCAATTGCTCCCCCATTTGAGCTTCAGCGTTCGGTGAGGCAAGGCGACCCGATTGCCCCCTACCTCTTTTTAGTGATAATGGAAGCACTGTCAGCTAACCTTCGCCATCACAAGAACCTCACCCGAATCAAGATATCCAATATCCCCGAGGAAGCAATCCCTATTTGCTCCCTTTTCGCGGACGACCTCACCGTTATGGCAGAAGCGACAAAATCCAACATGAAGGAAATCCAGTTGCTTATGAACAAGTTCTGTCTGCTCTCTGATATGTCCGTGAATTGGGGTCAAAAGACGATCGGATGGTGGATGCACCATCAAGGGGGGAGACCCCCAAAATTTTCACAGATTATATGGCCCCCCCATGACGACCCTCTAAGAATCCTTGGGGCACTTGTTACTGCCAATGGGAAACCATCGTCCAATGATGAATGGTTGGCCGGACCGGCACAGTCCAAATTGGAGAAATGGAACAACAAACGCACCTCAATCTTTGGGCGAGCACTTGTTATAAACAACGTAGTTCTAGCCACCCTCTGGTACAAAGCCATTCTATGACCCTTGAGTGCGGGGGGGATCAAACCACTGAAACAACAGCTGGCGGCCTTCCTTTGGAGAGGCGACAAAAACAAATCTCACGCCATAAGTCGAGTGGCCTGGGAGTCAGTGATTCAACCCAAAAGTGGAGGAGGACTTGGAATTGTGGATCCGGCCACACAATTCCAAGCCTTCATGATTCGCTGGCTTCAACGCATTATTTTCTCTGCATCATCCCCTTGGGTTTCCTTGGCCCTGGCACAAATTTATGACCTGGCCCCGGAATCCCCACCTGAGACTGACCCTAGAATATGGCTAGAAGACAGGTCTTGGAGGTTGCCAAGGAAGTACATGAATGGGGACCCTTCTCACAAACAATGGGTACTATACCTTATACGTACTTGGAGGAGACTCCCCCTTCCACTTCGACCTACACCTGAGAGATCGGAAGAGATATTTAGGCAACCCCTTTTCGGTAACCGCCTAATAACAAATCCTGGAAGGCGTGTGCGGAACAGCTCGGAGACTCCATTGAAAGGCTGGGTAAAGCATGGTGTCCGGAGGGTTGGGGACCTTTGGGACAGGGAGGCCAGAAACTGGAAGAGCATAGAAAGGATGCGTACATGGCTGCGGTACTGCCACCTTACTGAGAACGTTTTCAACGACCTCATTGAGAGCTTCCCCCTCTATTGGTACACCACCCTCAGAAAAGGTCCATGTATAAGGGAAGGAGATTGGGTGGGGTTACCTGACCGGGAGAAAGAGGTAGGGCATGTGCACCTTACAGCCCCCGGACACGCACTAATAGAAACCTTCTACATCCAAAAGGATGATAGACTAGAATGGGACCAACAACCCTTCATATGGAGAGAGCTAAAGGATATGTATCGCATCAGGGTTATTGAGGAAGGGTGTTACCAGAGAGTGTATTGTCCAAGGACCCCAATTGAGGACCTCCCCTTAGATCCCGGAGAGTGGCGATGAAATCAACGTAACCCAGCCAGGAAAGGAGAGGACAACATACTGACACTGTTCAGTTTAAAAACTAAATCAGCCTACCGAATGTTTAGGCCCAAATGCAGACTGCGGGACCGCGTGGAAGACAGATGGTATCGCCATCTCAACGTAGACCGCAACCTGCTTAAGCCCATTCGATGGTTCGCTCACTATAGTTGCAGACCCTCCAAAATCTCGTCCCTCCAATGGCAAATTGAACATAGGTGTCTACCAACCAACGACTGGCTGATAGACCACACTCGTTTGGAACAGCAAGGGAAAGCACTACCATGGTGCCACAAGTGCCTTCAGAGCTTCCCTGGGACGAGGCGGGCAGAGACTTTAGAACATATCTTTCTTCAATGCCCTGCGTTTATGTTACTGTGGAGAAGCTGGGACAGGATCTGACAACACATTGCTCCCGGTGTGACGTGGCCTTGGGATTGGAGGGCCATACTCTTAGGATATCACCCTTCAATCCGGGGAAATACATTTGTGGAAAATATGTTCAAACTGGGTAGGCGGAGCATCTTATGGACTATGTGGTGAAAGCGATGTATCCTGGAGATAAAGGGGGCACAGGTAGAGGACGGAGAAGTGATGGAGCAAGTACGAACACTGGTTCAATATGAGATCGCAACCCAATGGAAAGCCGCTAAAGACAAGCTCGATCAGTCATATACCTGGGGGGACATGAACAACGTTATCTCCTGTTTCAGCAAAGATTGATTGGGCGGGAATAGAGAAGGCGGGGTGGCAGAGATAAAGTGGTCCGGATTCAACCAGAGTAAAGAATCCCGGGAGAAAATGGCAAGGGACTACCAGCTGATTTTTCATGACTGGACTAAAGTGGACCTGGGCGTCCCACTACGACCAGCCCAGGATTTCGCAGACCCCTTCCCCCCCCATCCGTTGTCCTTGGTGGAAGTACTACCAGCGGCATAAGCCGGGACGCCAGCAGGAGCAACTTCTGTTTCTCAGCCAACATACTATCTTAAGGGACGCTGGACCCGCTTTCCAACAGATACATTCCTAATACTCTCCTTCTGCATTCTTCTGCATTTTTCTGCATTCTTCTGTTGTCTTCTGCATTCTTCGGTATTGTCATTCTGTATTTTCAGTCTGCATTGTCATTCTGTATTTTCCATTGCTGTATTTCCAGTCTGCATTCTCATTCCATGGAGGGAGAATTCACTGGTGCCCCCCAGTGCCCCTCTCCAATCCTCGGCCCAACTGCAGGATAGGCAAGGTAGTGATGGTTTTGATGGTTTTTGATATGGGACGCTGGACCCGGTTTCCAGCACAAGGGCGGCACCTTCCATCGAGCCAAAAACGTCAGGATCAGCAAATGGGCGTCTCTCTGTGAAGTGATGGGGATGTTTGCTGTAGTCAGAACGGATGTTTAGCTAAATTGAGACAAAATGCTGTGAGAACTCTGTTAATCCTGTTTTATGCAAATTGCTTCAGGTTAATTCAGTTTAAATTCAGTTCAAATTCACTCTAGCTTAACACAATAGGCGCGTGGAGGATAGTCAGTGGACGGCAGGGGTCAGGAGATAGAGGTGGACTCCACTGGTGCCCCCCAGTGCTCCCCTTCCTGACCTTGCGACAGTTTTTGCTTGGAAGAGTAGAAGTGCATATGGGACGCTCGACCCGGTTTCCAGCAAAATGGCGTCACTTTCAATGATGTACTGTTTTAAAAGATGTATCTAAGGGACGCTGGACCCGGTTTCCAGCAGGTGATGCTCCCCACCAATAGATGGAGCGGCCCGCCAGGCAAAGCCTCAATCCCTGTGGTTCTCTTACTACCACCAGGATAGAGGCCTTGCACATGGGACCTTAAAAAAAAAAAAAAAAAAAAAAAAAAAAAAAAAAAAAAAACCCTACTTCATTCTTTTTCAAAAATTTTGAAATACGGGTCTCGTTAGACATTCCTAAAAGTTCCTGTTTTTAGGATTTCATCTTGGTTGCACGCAATCCTAAATCGGATGCGAGAATCGAAAATGTGAAAACGGCGTTAGGACTCGTCCTAAAAGATTTAGGATTCCCCAGCCAAATCGTCATAAGTTTTCCAGTAGCCCCGGACCTACTCAAAAATTTAGGATTCCCGCGTTTCACGGAGTCGCCGCGTCGCGAGAATGGCACCGTCGACACGAAGGCGCTGGTCCAGGAGAGGTCTGTTGGGTCTATGGGCGGACATCGGAGGTTTTCTGCAGGTCGACGACGGCAACGGCGCCCAGCGGTAGCCGTTGGCCGGTGGGGTGGAGCGCGCGGGGCGAAGCGTGGCCTGGCGGGCGACCGTTGCGGACCATTGGCTCGAGTGCGGGCAACAGAGGAATCCCCAGACGTGCGCACGACGACACACGGAGGCGGCGTGGGCGCCAACGGTTGATTTTTGAATCGCAGGCGCGAACGTTTGTCGTCTTCGCTGCCGGTCGACGGCATATGAAGGTCCAACGGCCTTGTCCGCGGGCTTGTGAGGAGAAAGTTGAGCAGGACGTCACGTGCAAGGTCGCTTGTCCACGTCGAATTCATGGCAGACATGCAGAGGAGATTGCCTTTGTTGCTTCTCGTTGTGGTCGTCTTCGTCTTTGCCGTCTTCCTCCACGTGTGCTTGTCGTGCCGGCCGTGGAAGCAATGTCGCAAGCGCAGGGCGTCAACGAAAGGCGCTGTGCTTCAAGAGGGACGTCCCATGGCGGGCATGCAGGCACGCGCTATTCTGCCTGCAGCTGAGGGCGGAAAAAAACCTGCGACGACGGAGCCTTCACGGCGGTACGACCCGTCCATGTACAACCATCTGCCGTCGTGGGAGGCGCCGCTGCCTCCCTCGAACGAGGAGCCGGAGGGGGATGAATTTCCAACGTTTCCTCTCGGCAGCGGGTCGACGCAGCTGTTGTCGCAGACGGTGCTCGCAGGTGGGTCGGCAAGCAACGGACGCGGCGAGTACACGACACTCCTGCAACAGGGCTTGGGAGACGACGACGACGGGGGAGTTGATCTCCGGTTCGGGCTATGTTCTGGCGGCGGTAGGGAGCCGAGCCGCACGTTCATCATCGACGCCGATCCTTCACCACGCGGCATTCAACAATCTGGAAGTCGCCATACAGAGCAGTCCACACTTCGTGGCAGTGCGTCCGTTACTGGCGGTGTCGGGCCATCGGCATCAGGCCGGTAGCATGGATCGAGTGCACCGTCGGCCGATCGATTGACAAGCACCTGCCCCGCACGCCATGGAGTCCCAGTCAAGTCCCTGCACATCGGCGGTACACTTCATTAGACGCCCAAAACCACAATGCCGGCCTAACCCGACCTCAGGGACGACGGCACGTGCAGACCAGCGGTGCGTCCAACACCCAATGTGGAGAACATCACACGAGGAGTGTCAAACATGCGGGCACATAGCGATGGCGGCGACGACGATGGTGGTGGCGGTGACGATGCCGACGAACGATTCGGGGAGGACGTGGAGGCAGGGGACGACGACGACGACATTCCTATTCGGCCTTTGGGGAAGACGGGTGGGAGGGGGAGAGGACGCAGCAGGGGTGTTGTTCGTGGTCGATCCGTTGGCCGTGGGGGCAGAGGTGGCGTCAGCGACGACGGCGGG